AATCAACAAGAAACTAAAAAGGAACACGCGGTAACATTTATCACGAGGTTGGAAACTGCCCTAGGAATATCGTCCTGTAATCCAGTAACGATATTATTTTCATTGCCGAATCGACTTTCCACGACCAATTTTAGTATGACTAAATGAATTATATGTTTTCTTGGGATGTCACCTATAACCAGTTTTACTGGAAAAAATGGAAACCATCCCCCCTAGAACCCCCTCTAACCCCACACATATCTACACTTGGCTGGAAAATACTTTAGTTCCAAAAAGCAGGCACAGAAAACTGAACAAATATCTTTAAATCTTAGCAAATAAAAGTAGAAGAATAAAAGTTGCTTCCTCCAACATCCTCCTTCTGAGGCGTGCAAACACCATGTCGAAAAGTCTTCATTTCCCAGTGTTGTCCTGACAATAGAATCACTCTATGCGAAGAATTGTTTGAAAGCACCGAGTCATTAATGGCCGCTAAAGTACAGGACTACTAGTAGGTTTTCACCCCGAATGTTCAGTGCGAGATCCTTGGACCGAGCCATAGAAACACCAGGAAGGTTGGGGAAAGTGTCAAAAACCGCGGCGAATCCGTCCGTCGCGGAGACATTGCTTCACTGGGACTGAGGCTAACCTGACGATCTACCGAGACTGTGACGCTGACATAATGTATTATAAATTAGTAAATCTCCCAAATATATTATATTAAGTATTTATAAGACGGAAACAATGCGTTGAGTTAACTAGAAAATCACCAACGACACATTTGACTAGGAATTACGAGCAGACAACACAAGACATGACTTGTGTTGTCTATGTATTATAAATTAACCGTTGACGCAATTAAAATGAGAAAAACTCATGTAAAAATTTAAATTTTGCTGCCTAAACGGGCATAGTGCAACGGCAAATCTGGATTACGAAGGTAGTAAGTACCTTATACATTTAGTTATGTATTAAGTTTATATTAGGTAACTTAGTATTTATGTACTAAATCTACACGCAATCTGTCACACTGAAACTTCAACATTGTTATTGAAAAGTGACTAAATTTAGGTAGGCAATATGAGTGCACTATGGAAATAGAACTGAGTATGATGATAGTAACTGACATCAGCTGATCCTTTAGCCAAAGCCAAATGTGAATGGATCATAAAATAGACAAAAGGAATTAATTTTGTCTATGGTCATATTCAATTGAGTCCAATTCAAAGGAAGGATGCAAGTTCGGTTTATAGGATTTTTAAGTAAGTAATTTAAGTAATTTGAACCGGAATTTGAGGATTAACAATCAGCATACCTTAATGAATCAGCTGTATTTGAGATAAAGGGGATAGTTTACGTAAATCACCTGACCTTTCCCAATTCAAAAAGAGAAGGAAAGAACATAAATTGCTGACGTGAGTGAGAATGCGAAGAGAAAGAGACAGGAAGACTTCCAACGGTGGTTTGTTTCCGTGCGATCTACAACGATTCTTCATCATCCATCATTGCAAATGGAGTAAAAGTAACAGAAGCCCGTTTTGTTGTGTGTGAAAGAACACGTCTCACATTCAGTATTTCAATACGCCCAAGACATAAGAAGAAAACTGTAGCACTGGACGATGTTATGTCACCGAAAACTTTGAAATTGCGAAACCTTCTTAACGAAGAAGTACGGACTACATACGAGGATTTATTATTTAAGAACAAGTCCATCGATATATTTCTATTGAAAACCTTTTATTTTAGACAAAATAGTTATTCATTAATTTTTTTTTTTTTATTTTGAGTTAGGGTGAAACTATTTGTTTTTGGGCCCTGTGAACCCCAAATTTTGGAGCAACAACCTACACCTGTGGTCCGATTTTAATTAAATTTGATATGTGTGTACAAATAAATGGTATATCCTGTTTTTTTTTTCATTTTAAAAAATTTTTATTTTTAATTATGATTTTCCTAAAATGATACGAAAAATCGTATTTCCAACGTTTTGAAGTATTTTGATTGGAATTAAGTAAGGTATGATCCTTTTAATTCTAAACAAAAATGGTTTCACCCCAAATTCTTTAAAAACTATACGGTTCAAAAGTAATTAATTTCATGATTTTATAGATACAATAACTTAGTTACTACCACCGCATCCCAATTATATGGGTTGTTAACCAGCTACTGGGAGAAAGATTGTGTAAGTTTCATTATACAGTTTTATTTTCTATTTGTCTGAAGTTTCGTTTTTTTTATCTTGCATTTCATTTTTACAAAAAGTTATTTAAAAACCACGAAAATACACGATCATATTTCGATTACGTTTATACGGACTTTGTTGTACACTTTACCTTCTTCTCTTTATACCACAATGTATCTTGAACAATTCCTGTCTCTAGATATAGATGAGTACCATAGATTGAATTGTTTATACTAGTTGGTTGTAACAACAGTAAACAATCCATAACGCTCTATTTACATATTTATAAGATCGTCCTAAGTCTCTTGGACTTCCTAATTGCATTTCCTCTGCATTTACTATTCATGGAACAATCAAATTTACGTAATGTCCCGGGAGTGAAGTAACACAACAAAATTAGTGGAAGGACAAAGTTGACTTTAGAAGAGTAGAATTTTTGATTTAAGAACTTAAATATATAATAACTTAAAGCATGTAGTTAAATATATCATAATATATTTTATATACTTTATAATTGGATGTTCATATTAAAGTATGCACAGTGTTAACGTACATAAAAATGCATACCATAAACTCAATTTATAAAGAAATTACGATTAAAATTAGTTACAATAGTTATTATAACCTTCCGAATTAAATTCTCTAATTTTTTTTATATTGGTAACAAATTATTCTAAAATTGATCTCTTATGTAATCTTGAATTTGCACCGATGGTCAACATGAAAGAAAAACGCTTTTAACTTTACATTTTAATACAGCTCATTAAGCCGTTTGCTTTATAGTAAACTCGAAGTTTTTAAATACAAGCTTATTATTACAAAGTGATTTCTTCGGAATGAAAAACGCCGGACATACAGAAAAACAACGGAATTGGCAATACAGTTCCATCCGTAGGCCTGCATGACAATGATTAAATAACGATCATCGCTTCACGAAAATAATTATCTGCAAAATTACCAAACAATTATTGACGTCAGTAACAGTTGCATGGTCGTAGTTACACATCGTATACACTCATGTGAAAGAATCAATATTAAAACCAGTATGGTTAGAAATTATAACGTAAATATACTATTGATGTAGAACGGTACTTGTAAGGGCATTAATAGATGCTGTTGTCTATAAATACAGGGTGATTCAAAATGAATGACCCAGTTTTAACGCTCTATAACTTTTATGCTATTAAACTTACCGCTATAAAATACACATCAAACGAAAAAGCAACTCAAAAAGTTTATGCCTTCCAAAGACAGATCATTTAACAAAATCGATCCAGCAGAACTGTAGATTTAATTGTTCAAAGTTAAAAAGTAATATCCAACTTTTTTTACCACTAGAAATTTGGACGTTACTTGTCGTTTTTGCAAATAACTTTTAAATGGTGAGGAAATCGACCAAAGTGGAAGGTAATATTCCGAAAGAGAATAAAATTTCCTACAATCTACTAATATGCATTTTTTGAAAATATTCAAGAAAGGTACCAAAAATTGCCTTAAAAGGGGGAAAAATAAAAAAATAAAAATCCCCGTCTTGAGTGTAGACAATAAACATAGCAAAAATTAAATTTCACACTTTTTAATTTTAAGCCAAATTTAGGCTACATTTATTGAGTGTTTTCAAGAAATGCATAATAGTAGATTGTAGGAAATTTTATTCTCTTTCGGAATATTACCTTCCACTTTGCTCGATTTCCTCACCATTTTAAAGTTATTTGCAAAAACTTCAAGTAACCTCCAAATTTCTAGTGGTAAAAAAAGTTGGAGATTACTTTTTAACTTTGTACAATTAAATCTACAGTATTGCTGGATCGATTTTGTTAAACTATGTGTCTTTGGAAGGCATAAACTCTTTGAGTTGCTTTTTCATTTGATGTGAATTTTATAGCGGTAAGTTTAATAGTATAAAAGTTATAAAGCGTTAAAACTGGGTCATTCATTTTGAATCACCCTGTACATTATATGTTCAATAATAGGTACATATATCCTATAGTACAATGGTATCCTTTTTGATGTAAAATTGTGCATAGAAATCTGGTGAGATGTATTGGAAGCTAACAATAATTATAAATACACTTTTAAGTGTACACTAGTTCTAAACATACCATTGAATATTTGTTTTAATGGAGAAACTTCGATGATTAACACTCTACCTCAAATTAATTACCATAGTTAAAATTTTCCAGTATAATTTTTTAAGGTCATTAAGCGGATCAGTTCTCGAATTAGTTTAAATAATCAACAAGGATATATAAACATTTTGAGGTGTTTGTTCCAATACTACATAGTTTGGGAGACTTGTGCAACGAGAGCCCCAGGTAGGTTTTTACAACCCCTAGTTATTATTCCGACCCTTTCAAGGGGCTGATTCCTTCCAGGAACAGGTCCTTCGTTGGGAGATTAAATGCTGAAATATCTTCCACAGCAGGTGAATTCGTTTCGTTTAAATTACTATCCCAATCCACTCTAAAATGTTGGAAATTTACCAGCCTTAGTAGTAAATGTTGACGTTGAATAAATATATTCATATTACTATAACATTTTTACTGAAAAATCAATACAATAATTGGATACATACGGTATATTCATTTCAATTTTGAAGCTACTGATAATTTGTTTAAACGGTCTTCACAGTGGGACCGATGAACATTAGGTCATTAGGATATTGATTTAAGGTTTCAAAAAAATAATCTATTCATTTATTTCTGAATATATCGTTTATGGACAAAAGATCACTCTTAGCATTGACACTTATGTATCAAGACAACGTAGAAATGCTACAATATATGATAATGACTAACAATTAGGTTTACATGTCATTGTAATAAATTTCAACCCTTACCTTATTATAAGTCTATTCCAAACAAAAATCGCAGTCAGTCGTAGCCAATGGGAGAACGATCACAAAACAATTCACATCCTGTATCCAGGGGGTGAGCTAATTCATAAAACGACCAAGGGATCTTTAAACCTGGAACTTAACCTAAAACATGTAATTCATATTGGCTCAGTAGCGATGCGAGCGGCGACGCCGACAAGAGAATGATCAATGTAACGTCAACGCGCCGGCGATTTAGCTAGGAACAGCTGACTGCGCTCGGCCACGGCCTGCACGATCACTGACGGCTGCAACGGCGACGAGAAGACGAGGCAGTGGCTCCCCTCCAACCCCCCACAGACCCAGCTGTTCAAATCAATAGAACATACCCCACGGTCAACTGGCCACCGGTACTTCACACGTGTTCTCGGGCCCTTTAAATTTTAAATCACGCGAGTCTTGGATTTTATGAGTTCAAACAAATGCTACAATGCAGTTACTTAAATTCTTATTTTTATTTAATTACGTAGTAATTAATTGTTGAATTTACATTGCTGTCCTTTAAATTTAAAATCAGGAAGGGGCATATTTAAAGCTTCTCACATTTAAAGGCCAATTGAGTGGTACAATGCGGTGACTTTAATGCGTAATTTTACTGAATTACTAGGATGTTATTTGTAAAAACGACATTGACGTCTTTCAAAATTTAATTCACGCAACAAGATTTCAAATAAAAAATCATTAAAGTTCATTAATTTATTTAAACCATTTTACGAAAAATTGCATAAGATACGGCATACACACATGTGGCAAGATGCAGAAGAACGTGGATGCGTAAGAAGATGTTGACGTGATGCTTCGGATAGTTCAAAACTGTCTTGGGGATTTGTAAAATGGAACCGTCTTGTGAAAGAGAAGCCAGACTCTTTGTTTTAAAGAATGAGTTTAGGGACCTTGAATTTAAGGAACTTAACACTTCTGAACAATTAAAAACAAATGCAGAATAGGGAATCCCCCTGCAAAGAGAAATAGAGAGCCGAAACAAAATGAGCCACAAATCTTGAAACCAGCATACAATAAAATAATTAATCTTGAAACGGCAAAAATAAAGGACTTAATAGTTCAGATCCGGACTGTTCCCTAAAAACTACAATCCTTTTTTTTTCAAGAATTGGAAACAATTGCAGCCAGTAGCCCTAAAAGCAAAAACGAACAAACAAATAAGCAATAAAAAAGTGTTAAAGAAGTTGATTTGTTTTGAGCTGAAAACGGTGTTTAAATAAAAATAGACCAAAGAAGCAGTGATCCCCTAATAATTTGGAAGAATTCAATAATTAACAATAATTACTCTACCATTATTATTATATGTAGTAATAAACGATGTTTTCTTGCACTCATCAATTTCATTTCATACTAAGTAAAATATAGTTTAAAGGCCCTTTTAAGAGGCATATGAGCAATGTTTTTTAGTATTGTATTATTTATATTATTATTATTATTGTATAATAATTATTTAAGTATTAACCTTTTTTATTGTATACATATTTTAAAATATATAGCTTAGTTTTAGTTTTTATTATTTTAACATTTTTCTTAACATGATCGTATACCCTGTTAAATTTATCCATGTTTTGCCTCCTGGATTGATAAAGAGTAATAATAATGATAGGTTAAATACCTTATTTACGTCTTCAATCCAAAGTAGTATTTTTATGATTACTATAGTTTCGGAGCTAACAGCTCCATTGTCAAATCTTCTTGTCCTGTTAAATTACTGTGAAGAGCATTGGTCATAGTTGAAGATCCCATGTAGACACACCCTCACACACGAAACATTATTATATACAAGTAACCATTGAAAATTTGTATTTTCGCCGGCCTAAACGAAAATGATTAGCGTAGTGGTCGTACATGAATCGGTCAGTGTACCGGTCCGTACAACTACTACGCTAATCATTTTCGTTTAGGCCGACCAAAATACATATTTTCAATGTTACTTGTATGTATTAATGGTTCGGGTGTGAGTGTGTGTCTACATGGGATCTTCAACTATGACCAATGCTCTTCACAGTAATTTAACACGACAAGAAGATTTGACAATGGAGCTGTTAGCCCCGAAACTATAGTAATCATAAAAAGACTACTTTGGATTGAAGACGTAAATAAGGTATTTAACCTATTACTACTGTTAAATTTGTGTTCTTCGATCAATAAATCTCTCTCTTGGCTCAATGAATAAAGAAATGACAATATTTACTGAGAATAATGAGATTATCTTCCAGGTGAAGAAAGAGAAGGCCAATTGCTGGATCTTAAACGTCAAATGCTGCTATATTGTCAATTCCACAATACTGTAATTGGACGTTAGAAAAAAGATGATAGCTAAAATCCAAAGGAGTTTGGCAGAAGGAAACAATTTTGATAATATGAATGAGATAAGCTAGTAGGCATTTTGAAAGTAACTATAGGAACAATAAATAAAACGATAATATAGTTTAACATCATTTAATCATTCCTGTCGTTTATACAATCCATAAACATATATATATATATGTATATATATATATATCCCTAAGAGCCCATGAACTTTTGAGAAAACCAAAAGTCAACCCACATAGCCTTCTCAGCGTAAATATGTACATAGACTGCCAAAATCATTCACTGTAGTAGTTTGGCCATTACTTCCAAAATCAAACTGAGGTCAACGCTTGTAGGTGTCGAACTGAACCTCTGCCTTCATTTCACTAGCAGACCTCCTCAGTGTTGATATGTAGACTGATCAAATCATTCAAAACGAAAAAAATGCTATAAGAATGTACATAATTAGAAAGTCATGTTTCTAAATCAATAACATTTTTTTATTGTCATTAGATATTTTTTAACATGTTGTATAGCTTTAAATAAAAATGGCTCTAATTCAAATTTAATTTATTTTTATAAACACAACGCGGTTGTATAGTATTTAGATACTCTTTACACTTAAAAAAGATAATTAAATATTGATCTCTGATATTTATATTCTTTTAATCAAATTGTCCCTACTAGACAGTTTCAAATCACAACTTGGATGTCAAAAAAAGGTCACGGCAGACAAAAAGATAGAAGCAAGTGCAAGCGGCAAAAAAGAAATACTGGGGACGCACCTTGTCCAAATTAGAGATACGGTAACTTAGTCAGTATTCTCAAAACCATCCTGAAGTGAACGGAAGCAACGGAAGTAAACACGCTCTTGCGTAACGCGTAACGTACAAGATTTTACCTGACCCGACAATATACAGGAGGTTACGAACAATATTTTTCATTATCCATTTCACTCATCTTCTAACAGTAACGGTAACGTTCATTTACAAACAAAAGCTAGGTTAGGAAAATTCTTCAAAACATAACAATAAAATTCAAGCGCACAGCTGATTTCTAGCGTTGAACGTCGTTGGCTCAATAGAGGTATATTTTTTAAGCACTCAATGTTATTTAAATGGGTTCCATTACATCACCGAGTGAGTTTTTTTCAACTTTACATCACTCGAGAAGTAACGAAGTTATATACATCACGCTTGGGATAGGGAAGTTTAACATGGCGGGTTAGGTAAAATTGATTGATATGTTTACATTCTTTCAACATGTAAACATGGAAAATGTGGAAGCCCATAGGGCGTATCCCAAGGGAAGTATGAAAATTAAATTATACTAGAGGTCGTCCAGTGGTCGAAACTCGACCAAAAATATTTAATGTACAGACTTCTTTATTTTCATTCCACACTTTGAATAGAACATGTGATTGGAGTTTCTTCCATTTGTTTTGATTTTCTGTTTATATTTCGTTGTTATTTCGTCACCAGCATGGCAACTCATAATATCCATGTTAAATTTTTCAAAATTTTAAATTATTATTTTTTTTCATGTTTCAAGTTTCAAGTCTCTAGCTCATCGGGAACTTAGTATAAAATCGATTGCAAAATTTGTACCGGACAAGAAAGTGAGCTAATTAAAACGTTTTAAAAATACGGTATGTTCTTAATAAGGATAACATGGGAACTTTAAAAGCCACTGGGTCAGAGCCCATGGGATTTTTTCAAAAATGAAAGGTTAGTTTGCACATCTTCACAATTAGACGAACATTTCGGTATATAATATCATAGATAAAAGGAGTATGTATACTTCTTTTAATCTATGATAATATGTAGAATTAAATCTTAAAGTGAAAAAGCCTTATTGTTCACAAAGTTTCATGTAGCGTGTTAATAATATAGATAGTTTGATATTGTGCAAATATTTAATGAGTTACGTTTTTATTTTGTAGATGTAATATGGCAATGGTAGAAATGTTATGGCGTAAATTAAAACAACCAAATTTTTTCAAACCGTCTTATCTCACATTCCAAATGCAAAGCACTAGTAAAACTGCAATGAGCATTTTATACTTAGGCCTATATTCCAACCCCGTACTAAGGACTGGTATTCTGATAGTTGTTATCATATTTGTTGTTAGTCATCAGAACTGTTTTTGTTAAATGTTTTAAAATGACTCTGCCGATGGATTAAACAAATAAATCCAAATGTTTACTTTCGGTAGTTGTTGTACTTTTAGACTCTCTGAAGTGAGACAGGTGCTATTCGATGATTCACCACAACGGCATGTGTTCTGAAGGTACGAAAAATAATTTAGTTTTGGGAAATACCGTACCACATATTTGGTTCAAAAACTCTCCCTAGGTTTGTTCAGAATTGGAATGCGTTTTAAAGGAATGCAAAATTATTGGGCTTGGAAAATGTGTACCGTACTGCATAATTAGTCTCTTAAACTTTCGTTTGGTTCGTTCTTCTGTTAATGGAATGTGTTGTGACGAAATGAAAAATAATTCGGTTTGGGAATTACAGTTTGGATGTTCCAAAAATTGTCGTTAGGTTCGTTACCTCAGTTCTCAGTTGTGTTTCGGAACTCATCGCGAGAAGATGGAACGAATGCTAAGTAAATTTGGCAAACCACTGTTAATTTACGAAGGTTACAAATTTCGGTTTGATAGGAAGTCGTGTGCGGGAGTGGTTTGGCGGTGTGTTGAAAGATCGTGTAGGCCTAAATCTAGTATATCTTCGGATGAAAGCGAATGTGTTTTACTTCAAACTAATATAAATCATCTTCATCCCAAACCGGATAAAATTCATCGTGAGGTGATTAGAAACAATACAAAACGGAAAGCGACCGAAGAAATGACAGAGCGACCTCAGAAACTTATCAGGAAAGAAATCGTTTCTTGCAGTCCTTCTTACTCAAGTACTGTGACCAAAGAAGATGTTCAGTGTTTCAACCGGGCAATACGGCTAT